ACGATAGTTTCCACGATTTTTCAATATTTTCTGTTGATGTTAAAAACCGTAGATACAAGTATGACACGTTTTCTAACTGTTTTCGACATACTACTAACAGTATGAAATGTCGCACTATCGCAAAGTATTTTTGAATGTATATGTTCATTCTCAATTTTTGATATGCTCGGTTGTTGTTCAAAATTACCCGATTTGCTGGCGACAATCCTAATCTATTTTGCTATCGAAGTGTCTAGGTTTACGTTTCTGGTGGTCTTCGATACTTTTTGAACACACAAGTCTAAAAACGCGCACTCTGGAATATCGTTTGGAGTAAAATCTGGAATATAGTAAAGGATAAATCCCCTTTGCTTTAAAGCTGGAAATTGCGTCTTCTGGAGTTGCCAATTTTCCCCAGGACCCATTAAGCAGTTCTCTTCTAAACGTAGTCTTCTAATGCGACGCTCTGTGGATGCGCTCAAAAACCTTTTAATAATTTGAAAATACAGAGGTTGAAGGTAATGTGCAGTATGAGAGGGCAGTGGTAAGTATACAATATTGTTTGAATCGGTAAATGTCAACAATTTTACCAAAGTAGTTTGCTGGCGTCAAGTATCAGCGAAGTCTCACGTATTGGCTTACGTGGAACAAGTACAGCCACTGAAAAAATTAGGAGTTGTTAAACTATTCATATACGCAAGCTTTTCAGACCTATAAACAACTGATTGAGATGACATTCCATCGTGAAATTTCCCCTTTTTCCTTTCGTCACACAAGCTGGTGGAAGAAAGAAACCTTCTGCGTTACAAAAAGAGATAGTGATGGTTTCGCCTTTTTCTGTTAATGTTATTGTAGAAATCACTTTCGCAACTTTCTCGGCTGAAACAATGCCAACTGAATTGTTCATTTGTAATCCTGCTTCAGTCATGATAAAAAAATATTCAAAGGTCTATCAAACAATTCATTTTCTTCAAGAGTGCCATGAGTGTTATAGAATATTTTGAAGTATTCAACCACTTCTTCAGGATTCTTTGCTTCAAATCGTGCATCCGATACACTTTCAACTTTCTTGATGGATAGTTCAAAATGACGATTTAGGAATAAATTTAACCAAATATACCCAGCCACTTTACTTGCATCGGTAAAAAAGTGCCTTGAGTTTTTTTTGGGCGAAAATTTAAAGGCGAGAATGCTCATATCATCTAGTGTAAATGGGAATCCTTGTTCCTGCATTCGTTTAATATACTGCTCTAATTTTTTTCTCTTCGTTTTTTCCCCTCAAGCGTTGGACTAGAGCCCATAGTACCTTTATTGGAATTATTGATCTTCAAGCGACGTGGTCTTGTGTAGAATGTGAAATGCTTCAAACGTTCATTTTACCGAATATAACCATGTTTGTACAGAATCCGCCGCATTAGACAAATCATTTTCACTCCAAATCCCTCTGCTTGAATTACGCTTTCTTTTATGTTTATTCGGCATCTTTAAAAGTAAATGAAAAACACATCTGTAAGTCATATTATTATTGTTGAACTTATATATGATATTACATATAATATTGAAGCGACGGAAGCGTTGATAAGGGCAAACAGTAAAAAGGAAAATAATTTCCGATCCTTCAGTCATGAAAAAGAGTACATTTCTTTTAGTTTTCGTTACACATTTTTAATGACCTGAATAGTTCATTTGATTATATATGCTAGGTTTGTATAATCCTTAAAAAATGTAAAAAAGTTGTTCCAATACTGTAATGAAAAAAATAAGAATTTATTTTTATTAGCTCTCGAATTAAAATTAAAATGACGAATTTAAAGATTTCACAACTAGATATATTTATTTCGAAATATTAACTGTGGCGGTGAATACGATGTAGCGTGCATTCTCGTTGAATGTGAATGACCTAGACAATTATACGAATGCATGTAATGAGAATACTCTCTATTATATTCATCTCATTTTATTTTTACTACTTTTTAAACTTTTTAAGAAATCTACAATTGTTCATACGTCCATACGTATGACATAAAAGTGGCCTTCCCTTCTCGACTTAATGTGGGCTATCTCTCCTAAAGTTAAACATAAGATGGAGAACCAAATTTATTACCCCACTCCACCGTTTTATATCTTTTCTTTTTTACTGAAGAACAGGGATTAAACTATGTATATACCTTAAAGATCCATCTAGTTGGAAAAAAATACTACCTACGTATTGAAAAATAACAAGATACTTAATTCTTACTTATTGATATACAAGATTCTTTTTTGACCTCAAATAAATGAAATAAATATTATAGTTTTACTTACTTTTTGCAGTAAAAAAAAAGCTTTGTCCAAATTACTGAACAAATTAAACTACTTCCTGTAAAATTGCTCTTTTACAATATATTAACAAATATTGGAGGTATTTAAATTGGCCATCTCTCCCCATAAGCCACCTGATCTAGACGTACCCAGTACAATTTTCCAAAAATTTGATTTCTCGAGAACTATTCGACCGATTTCATGCAAAAGTTTGTATAAACACGTTTAAAATTACCTTATTTTAAGTGACGTAAAAATTTGTATACTTTAAGATTCAAACTTTTCCAAAGTATTCGTAAATAAGGCAATAAAAAAATTATAAATAAATTTTAGCTTTTTTTTTTTCAAAAATATCTTTGCATAATCGAGTTTTATAATTGCGTGCAAAAATGTTTTGATTCAATTAAAATGTATTCGAGATATGGCGAAATACGCAAAAAATGAAACTAACATTTAAGGGGTGCAAACTTTTGACCGCTCACCTGACCGAACTATTGGAACCATAATTCTCAGATTGAGGCTACCTTCATAAGAGTTTCTGTATTTAATTAATTCTAACAAGTCTTGAGCCTAAACGAAATTTAACTAAATTAATATCACATCATAAATCGAGTGTAAGGTTAGCCATATCTTATAAGTGTTATCCCATATTTGGCTATATTTGTCTAAAATAGCACCGTTTGTTATTTTTCGGGTATACGGCATCATAGCATACTCGGGTAGTCTCCCCAATTCATTTGTTATTTGTTTCGTTGAAAGTTAAATTGAAAGAATATTGAAAACACTACAAGTATAATAATATAGGATGACGTGCTTTTTCGTGAAAAAGCAAATGACCAATTTTATGACTAGCTCTATTAGCTAAAATTATTAAAAATGGCTAAAAAAGAGTCTAAAAACTGAAAATGAAACGACTGTCTCTGGTAAAATAAGAATTGATTTGTATAGTTTGGCTATATGACTTTTAGCTATATGAATTTAACTCTCGAGATGCTTGAAATTTATTACATTTGAAAGGACGGACATTAATTGTCACAAAGTAATAATTAAACGAATACATCCTGACTGAATACATCCTATCTGTTCGATTGAAGAAAGAAACTAAAAAGAGATGAAAAGTGGTTATTATGAATACCTCCTAGCTTCATTAAGAAATCTCGATGAAACTTGGTTTTAGAGTTTTTCAAATAACTGGTTTTCATATTTTTCGTAGCGTTTTCATCAAAGTGATATGACAGATTTATATTCCGTGTTTGTTCCTTCCTTATTTAAATATTAATTTGTAAAATCTAATGTGAATATTTTTTTTTAATTTTCTTTTAGACAAGAATTTTAAATGAATGTAAAGGCACACATTTTTAAATAACTTGCCAAATTTTGATTTCTAGATAGTTTAAATTATTAATTTACTTTTCAAAAGCATTATAATAAAAAATCTCACACGTTATGCGAAGGGAACATTCTATTTAAATGCAATTATTTTCCACCATTTTTAATCCGGTTCTGGATCAGAGGAAATTTATTACCCGAGAAAAACTCGCTAATCAATCAGAGGATCCTGCTCGCATGCCATTCGCATTGGATGTGATTCGCGATCTCAACGAACTATAGGGGGCGTTGTTGTATGAGACTAATACCTGCGATTTCTATATGAATAGTCATTCAGTTACTCTAGNGAATTTTAAATGAATGTAAAGGCACACATTTTTAAATAACTTGCCAAATTTTGATTTCTAGATAGTTTAAATTATTAATTTACTTTTCAAAAACATTGTCTTTTTTAAATATGATAGAAAAGGTATTTTTATTGGATACAAACAATGCTTTTATTTTGTATTGGATAAAAAAAAATTTTAAAAAAAAGCGAATATCAATATTTTAGGAAGGGCGCCAGCAAGAGATTTGCCATAGGCGCTTCTTTCCATAGGTACGCCTCTGAGTCCATACAGTACAAAATACATCGATAACAGAAAAAAAAAATTGAGTTAAATTTACAATAAAAGGAATCTGCACATTATGGTATCAATATTAATGATTTTAGATTATTAGAAACGCACTTAAAAAAATGATGTGAGAAAAAAATGTCAAGTATAAAATTCGTTTTAATTTAAATATTTTGAATTAATTTGTTTGAGCCCCCTGTCGGAGGAGACTTGATCCCTTGTCGGGCAGAGTCTGACGCCACTCTGTACGTTCTGAATTCATATTTATTTATTGGAACGACGAAAGCAATATTGACTTCACTTTAATTTGTAATGAATTGAAGACAGAAGAAATGCATTTTACCTCAATACACACATTGCGATAGCGAAATTGGAAGTTATCAGTTGCAAGTTTGTTGATCATAGAAGTTAAAAATTATTGAGGAATTTTTCTTCAAATGTTCGACGTGTTCTGTTTCTGAAAGATTTTCCAATATTCAGGAGAGTTTTTTCAAGTTCTTCTGCTTTTTTCTTAGGGAAATTTTGCTTCTTATTTGCAGCTAAGAAAATGGCGTCTGATTCTGCTAATGATTTTGATGGAACTAAATGAAAACGTGATAAATTAATGTCTGATATTTACAGGCTCCCGCTAGAGGGCGTACTCGAGCGTTGCGATCGCGAATTGAATGAATACAATTCATCCGTCGATGAAACTCGGGCATACGCGAGAACGTCAAACATGTAGTTTCGAAACGTTTAGCGTTTAGGCCGATTTCCTGCTGAGTCATAGTGAAATCTGTTGCAAGCAAGCATGCCAAGTTTCTAGGCCACCGCAGCCTGACAAAACTGAATAATTTGAGAAATTTTCAAATAACTGTAACTTTAACTTTCTATCAAAGCGCCGTAAACAAATCCCTTGTTTTTGTAAACAAAAAGCTCACTCGTCGGATTTCATTCAATCATAATATATTATTTTATTTGTAGTGTATTTTTTTATGTAATTTAGATTTCGTAATTTTTGTTGCATTGAATATGTTTTTAAAATAATGAGCAAAATAAAAGAACTGCCTAAATCTTCATCTCATCTTTTGCAATGTACACAAATTATTACCTCTGTTCAAACTGTTGTAAAAGAACTCATCGAGAATGCTATTGACAGCTCTTCCAAAAATATTGAAGTTAAATTAGTAAGATTTCATTTAAGTATAATTAATGATTGTATTTCTTGATACAGCCCAATTTTACTGATAATAAAGTTAGAAATATCTTATGTCACTTAAATTTTGAATTCTATAGAACTTTCTGTCATTAATTTTAATTAATCTGGTTCTATTATGAGAAATTCTTAGATAGCAACATCATGAGTACTCATTAAAAGGGGATAATTTGGCATTGGTATTTGATCAGGCTAACTATTAATCGCCATGTCTTTAAATTGTTTTAAAACTTCCAGAAATTTTAAAAAATATCTGTAGAGGTTTGTCAAAAGGAATACAAAGTTATATCCTATGAGTTGATCTCCTTCTCGAATTATTATTATTTTTTTAATTTCTTGTGTGCTACTGCTTTTAAGTTGCCAGAACTTGGCATATATTTTGACACAGGTACTGTTACTGAAATCTCCCCTATAAAAATTTCAGAATTCTCTGTTTTACAATCGATGATTATCTAATATAAAAGAAAGAGCAAGCATTGTTTTAATCTTGTACTTGTTGATCTAAATTTTATAGTATTAAAAAAAACTACTCTTCTAGAAAATTGACTGTATGCCCACTACCATTATACCTTCTTTGCAATATCTCTGATCTCTTTCCTAGTTTCAATCTGACTATAAGAGAGATAATAAAATAAAATATATTTTTACCAGATGCATCAAACAACTTTCTCGGGATATGAATTATATTTTTTAATTAGTTATGTTTTGTCTAAAGTTGAAAAATCAAAAATTTGTGTAATTTTAAATAAATATTTTGGTTTTTCAGGAGAAATTAGGCTTTTTGAGTTGAACTGTATTTTTTTTTCTTAGTTAACATAATTGCACTAAGAAACTTACTTTTATTATTGTCTTAATTGTTTGTGCATTTATAATTTTTCCATTTCATTTTTAAAAGTTATATTTTTGCATTTATATTATTTTATTTAGTTTTGTGGATGAATACTAAATGTAAACTTTCAATGTTCCTAACTTCAAATATTAATTCTGGTTTTATTTCTTGTAAATTTTAGGATAATTATGGTTTAGATAAAATTGAAGTAAAAGATAGTGGGAGTGGTATTTGTAAAGATGACATTGGTAAAGTTTGTAAGCCACATTGTACGTCAAAAATAAGTTCACATTCTGACCTTAATCAAATACAGACATATGGATTTAGAGGAGAAGCTTTAGCAGCACTATGTGCTGTATCAGATTTAGCAATAACCACTAAAACTGCTGAAGAACAGTTTGGATTTGCTTATGTGTTTGGAAAAAATGGAGAGATAGTCTCAGCTAAACCCTATCCATGTACCCAAGGTAAAATTGAAAATCAATTCTCTGAATATCTACAAATGATTCCAATTTTTTTATTTTATTTTTTTAATGATTATTTTAAAATTTAATATTTGTTGTTTTTTTGTTGTGCAGCCGTGTAATTTATGTTAAAAAAAAAAAGAGTATGTTAAAAATTACCTAATTTATTTTTATCCCACAAGTACAATATTCTTTTACTGAAGTATGTATTTATAAAAGGGAAACAAAATAATTATAAGTCTTGCAAAATTTATTTAGTTATTTATTTATTAGATAACTTCATGAAAATAATAAAATTTAACTTTGCACTAAAAGAAAAACATTTTTTACATATTAGTATCCAAGATTCTAGGAGGAGATAAATTGACATGAAATTAAAATATTGATTAAAATTTAAGCATTTTTTTAAGCGAATTTCATGCACTTTTTTGTAAAAATCGGTGTAAAAATTTTGCTGTTAGGTGAGAACATTTTTTATGCTTTAAGACTAAAAATTTAATCATGAGGATTGTGCGAAATTTTACTGATAAAAATTTTGTTTTAGTTATCATAGAAGAACTATTCTATATATAATTTTATAAATTTAATCTTTAGTTAAAATTACAGTATTTAATTTCGCATTTGAAAAATTTATACTGAAAATGGAAAACAAATCCATTTTTATCCTTTTAAAACATCATAAGATGTTTAGTAATTCTATTTTAAGTTGGACTCATAAAAATTATTTTGGTTTTAAAAAAATAATCTCTTAAAGATACATCTATGTTAGAAATATTCATGTTTGTATCGAATGTGAATAAATAAACTTATTCATATTAATGGAAAAAAATCTGTCACCAAGCTTGTGATGCCATAAACGGAACATGCTTGTAGACCTGCCTCCTAAACTGTCTTCATGCAACCTTTGTCAGGGGAAAATAACTATTTCTAATAATAACTCTAAATAAAATTTTGAAACTTGATGATTTTGTCTTAATTCTGTTATTTTTTTCCCCCTTAACCTAGAAAAACTGTTCTATATTTCAGGAATAGTGAAAATCGCTGAGACTTTTTCAGAGATTTGTAGCATCGGAAAACTGCTTTGAGCTGCTCACTCAATTTTTAGAATTACCAATTATATATTTTATAGTATTTTCCTTGACTGATAAATAAATAAAAAAATTCTGGGAAAAAAAACTTAAACTCCTTTTTTTTAATTTAAAATAAATAAACAAAGGTGTCGTGTCTCTTTCTCCTTTTTTTTTTCCTCTTTGAAAAATCCTACAATATTTCGCTATAACAAATGAGATTAGTTAGTTAAATTAAATATATTTTAGAATATAAAAAATCTTTTAAATTACAATAAACTTTTTAGTAAGTTTTCTGTCATTTACATAGGTAATTCTAAATAAAATACCTTTTGGTAAGTTTTAAAATGTTATATATTTTTATTTTAGGTACTACCGTGGCTTCTTCAAACTTATTTAAAAATATACCTGTGCGGAAACAATATTATAGAACCGATAAAATTAAAAAGGAAGAATTGAAAAAAATTGAAGACATGCTGTATGCATTTGGCTGCATTCATACAGGTTATTTTAAATTTGACTATTGTTTATGATTTTTTTGTTATATTGACCTTAAGAGAACACTATACCACTGGTGAAACCTTTTGTGACAAATTCCCTATCAACTGCATAAGCAATTTAAAGTTAAGAAGAAAAAAAAGAAGTTCATATAAACCAACTGTCAAGTATTGGAGGCTGATAGTTATTGTAATTTTTTTTTTTCTCAAAGTAACAAGTTATTGCAAGCAAATTACTTTCTCTCTTCATAATAGTAGCTAATCCTGCCGTAAATTGTCTGCAATTCGATAGTTAAAAAAAAAAAAAAAAACTTTTAGCATTTGAGGCTTCTACTTTATTTGAGCTAATTTTTTCCTATATTTCTAATGTACTTGAAAGAGAATTTGCTATGAATGAAAGGTTTCTCTCACGGTACAGACTCTTCTTTAAGATTTTTGTGTCATTAAATTATTAAAATATTATTTTATTGTAAAGATTACTGGTTCTGTTGTTGATTAAATGTAATCAATGCTCTTTATTATTTCCAGACAGAAATTAATACAATATTTATGTGTTTCTGCTACTTTCATATACAGTTAAGAGTGTTTTTAAACATGAAATGGATGAAATAAACTTATCTCATTTTGCATATATGTATTTCTTTGATATTTTAAGATACCATTATTACAATATTGTTTAAATTAATTCGGTTAGTTGTGTTTATTAATGATTGTTTCAGTTATTTTAGAACTCTTTGATTTGATTCTTTGAACTTAGTTCATACTTTTGAACATTAGTTTAAAAAAATATTAATCTAAAAATATTTATGAGTTCATATTATTTTATTAATAGTTATGGTTATAATAGAATGATTAAACCTGGGGTGTTTTTATTGTGTGAATACATCTTTTAAAACGAAATTCGGAGATAAAAACTGAAATTAGACGAAGTACATTTTAACAAAATAAGTAACATCTGGTTTAGATTATAAAAAGGCTTGTTTCTACTAGTATTATTATTAATACTTTTTATATTATTTTAGTATCATGTTATTACTAATTCATATTTGCCACTGGTATCATATTATTATATATCATTCAAATATCAGCTATTTTATAAGTTTATAAAAAAATTTTGATGTTTCAATTTTTAAATTAGATATTTTAATATTTCTTATTTTAAATTTTTTTTCCATTGAAATTTTAACCTAACATACTACTTGCAGATATTCGATTTGCCCTATTTCATAACAAAAGTCTAATTTGGCAAAAACCAGTTGTCAGTAAAGTCCGAGAAGGATTAGTGTCTGTATTTGGAAGCTCTGTTGTGGATCATATGCAAAATTGTGAATTTTCAGATGATAAAGAACAGGTATACATGTCTTTTTCATGATTTATTTTAAGCAAAATTGTCTTTTAAGAGATATTGCATATTATAATTGATTTAAATTATTTGCATTGATTTCATTCTTGAACAATATGTTTTATTATGGTAAAATTCTTATTTATTTAGGTTTTTCTTTATTATGCTTAAAATATCTTATATTTGTTTTATCTAGTTTCCCTCTAATATTTTAAATATGATCAGTGTTTATTATAAGAATCGTTCTTGTTAAGCAAAAAACAAATATTATGAAATAAACTTAACTTATTCGTGTTTATGTAATGAAATGACTGGCGATCACCCTGTGTTTTAAGGCACTGAGTCATCATGGTGAGAAACTGGGGTTCGATTCTCAGTGGCAACTGGAAACCCAACCAGCTTTACACCATACCATTTGGTAGCAGCTTCTCTGGGAAGTAGGGTTGGCTTGTGCGCAATGCAGATCACATTGCGGCAATCATGCTTTTGACCACAAAATTTTGAAGTCTGGATCTCAATGTCCCTCTGGTCCAGAACGGACTGTGCTGTTCCTCAAAATCTTTTTATATAGTGAAGTAATTTTTTAAAAGTATTGGTACAAATTGGATAATACATAAAATAATGTAATTATAAACATATAAATGCTTATATACTGTTGTTTCCTTTTTTTTCCTCCTTTTTTTTTGCATAAGACTTAGTTTATAACACCATTTGATCATCTGACTTGAAGTACTTTAAACTGTTAGCATTTGGTGGATTTCCAAATTTAATTATATTAGACACAAACTATTATTATAACCATATTTTCCTTCCTCTAGTATATTATACTTTCTGGTTATTCAAAATAAACTTAACTGTAAACAAAATTAACTTAACACGTTCGCTACCACCGACGCACTGGTGCATCAAAGCGGCACCTCCTGGTATGCCGACGACACGCTAGCGCATCGATAGATTATGATAAGTTATATGCTCTGTGTTTAGTATGGCGTTGGTAGTTGAACGGAGAGGTTGTTGAGGCACGTTAGTGAAGCATTATTTTTTTGTTGTTGGTTTTCAAAACTTTTGTTTGAATTTTTTTATGTGCGTGACAGCCAATGTCTGTAGAGTGTACTTATTATTTGTAAATACTTTCAGTATTGTTTCATAAATGGTACTACATATACTTGAATGGTATTCCTTTTAAACTGCTGTTTTATGCAATATGCCAGTAATTTCTGAGAATATTGACCTGACGTGCTGGAGCGTCAGTGGCACTCACGAAGACAGATTGAGTCTGTGTGCCACTGATGCTCCAGAGCGTCGGGGAAAAAACGCTCTCTAAACAGGAAAATAACATGCTTCGTCGTTTTTCTGGTTTTCCTAGTAAAATATAAGGAACATTTAAATCATTAAAACCCTGTTTTGTAATCCGGCTTCTGAGGATGGAAATATCATTTTTAGCAGCGAATGTGTTAACTGAGTTGCTCCGTTCCTATGTTATCAAATTACACAGATTCTACCTAATGGAAATGGTCTCTTTTTGTAAGCTAATTTATATTTAATAAGTTCCTTGATGATATCCTTACAGTCTTATAAAGTTCAGTCAATCTGATCTATTTATTTATATTTTTAGGTTAAAATAGAAGTTTTCTTACCTAAGGGAAATGCACCTGCATTCTGTAGTAATACTTCTTCCAATCGGAGTATTATTTCTATAAATAAGCGTCCTGTACGAATGAAAGTACTTGATAGAGTAAGTACAAATATTTAAACATTCAGGGTATAGATACTATAAATCTTGAGATATGAACAAAATTATGTGGGCTCTCCATATTTTAAAAATATGTAGTGACTTTGCATAATACCTTAATTAAAATGTTTGTTAAATTTTGAGAATTTGTAAAGTTCAACAGAAAAGAATTATTCTTTTTATGTGTAGTCTAAAAATATTTACTTTTATAATATTGAATAGTTGCCACAGCAATGATTCATCATTATTAAATTGCAAGTTTTAGAACAAGATCTAAATGTTATTGGTTTTAAATGTCATCTGTAACAAAAATACTGGTGTTAAGTAATTTTTTACTAATAATTTGATATCAACTTTAAAGTTAACTAATATAAATTAAGTAAAAATATTATATTTATTGCTAGGTTTTAAAGCAATGTTTTAGTAAATCACTTATGAATCTTACCAAGTCTCGTTACCCTATTTGTTACATTTCAATTGAAGTGCCACCATGTGAAACAGATGTTAACATTGAACCAAATAAGACAGCAGTAGTATTACACAACATGGTAAGTAGAATTTAATTTTTATTTGATTGCAATTAGTTTTTTATCATATTATTTTTTTTACTATTAATTAAATAATATTATAGGTATATTAGATAAAATAATAACTGGGTAAATTTTGCTATTTATTAGGTAATGTGTATATGTTACAAAATATTTTTAGTAACCAGGCTTCTTTTTTTCTTTCGAATTTTAAAAAAATTTAAATGCTTTTTTAAATTCTAATTCTTAAAAAAATTTCGTGAACAATTTTTGGAATCATTTCTCAAAATCCTTATGAGAACAATATTACCGTGTTTGAAAAGAAATTGCCTCATTTTTTTTCCTTCCTAAAAAAGTAGGCATGCAAGATATATGCACAGATAAGTATGTCTGTTCAAAAGATAGCAAAGAACTTGCTAATTTAATGAATCTTAAAGGAAAGAAACTGACAAAGTTGTGATTGTGGTGTTTGGAAAAAAATCAAAAATAGTAAATGAGGCTTAGGCATCTGGTTATATATATATATAAAGGAAACAGATATCAAATGAAAAAACAAACACATTGACATTGTTTGAAACAAATGTTTTTGATGGTGTAAATACATATTATTCACCTTTTAAAATCTCAGTATAATTATTATCTTGATTCTTAACTGAATTGTTAAAAATGAATTTATATTTGATTAAAATATTTGATTTTGAATGTCCCAAATTTTCAATCCCACAAAATTTTTGTGTATCTCTTCGAAATCTCAATATTGAGGTTTGACTGTATGTATGTATGTATGTATGTATGTATGTATGTATGTATGTATGTATGTATGTATGTATGTATGTATGTATGTATGTATGTATGTATGTATGTATGTATGTATGTATGTATGTATGTATGTATGTATGTATGTATGTATGTATGTATGTATGTATGTAT